TGAAATTTTCAATTAACAAATACATTTTTGATAGTAACAATTAGACAAGCGAAGAAAAACAATATTTTTATTTTTTTTAATTTTTTTTTTAATTTTCAAACCGAATAAATAAATTATGCACAAAATTTAAATAAAAAGTGGGCAAGTTTTAATGTTTAATTTTTTAAACTTGTGGAATAAAATTTTTAAAATCAATGTTTAATAATTTTTTCAATTTTTTCTCGAATAATTTTAAATAAGAAATAATCAAAAATCTTCTCCCACATTGCATTTAAAGACTGCACGCTTCACACATGGTGCCATCTGGTCGGAAATTGTATGGAAGACAGTGAACGTGTGTGCAATACATCAGTTGCTATTTACGAAATTTCTTTGAATTAAATTAAAATGACTTAATTCACGGTGGTTATCACATTCGACATAACATTCCAGTCCTATCATTTGGATGCCTCTATCATTTTTAAAAACATAACCCATCATTGAGTCACTCAGAGACGATCGACAGTTGGATACAGAGGTCGAATCAAACATTAGCGAATCGGTCAAATCTGATAACAACATTTCTGCGTTGACGTTTAATAATAGTAACTTATGAAAAAAAGCAGATTGAGATAAAGGTTATTCGCCAGTCGCAATTACGCCAATTATAAAGATATCGTTAATGTAGATTAAGAATCTGGAATATTCAAGAAAGAAATAATTGATCAGTCAAGATGTTAACTCATTATATAAAAAGTTGCATCCAACTATAAACTTTCTCTAAATCTGTTTAACAATTTTATGCATTTTATTCAACAAAGGTTATGTTTGAAATGTTGAATTTAGGATTCAAATCGTCGTACAGATTTCAGCAACAGCAATCAACAAAAGTGGTTTCGACCCATCAACTGCGTGGCAAATGAATGCTGATTATTATGGGCGATCGATGACTCATGATGGCATAAACATTGAATGACCCACAGAAATTGAAATAAAGCACTTGACTCGATCGTTGACCTGGAAGCACTAGCGGGCGGCACGATGGTGTAGCGGTAAAGTGCCTGGAATTGCTTTTGCAATGACTCGATTCGATTGCGAAAGATACCCGCCTATCACATGCAATATTTTTGCTGCGTTGTTTCACGTGCATGTACATTTACCGTGTGTTTGATGTTGATGCCTCTGAGTATTGTTGAAGAGAGATATGTAATAATAATAATTATTATTATATATTTTCTATTTAAGCTCTCGCCTATCACAGGGAAGTATCTCCATGCATCAACCGCAATGCTAACGTGACGTCATTCCTGCTCCTGCTTCCTGCAGTTTATAATGAGAAGAACACAAAAAAATAATACGAGTATGTATAAAGTGCCATAGAGTAAGAGGTTTATGAAAAGTGGGGCCATTATGGTTAGAAAATTAAACTCCGCATGCTCAAGATTAGGAACATATTTATACTTGTGCAGAGCATAGGCGACAAGCGTTTTACTGATAAAATAATTCTGTACGAAGTTGTGTTGTTTTTCAAGTTGAAGCAGAAAATGGTTGAATATTAAAACAGAAGCTGTGTGTGTGTGTGTGTGTGTGTGTGTGTGCGCGCGCTATTTTGTAAACTGTGGTCGCCAGGATATTTGAGTTTCTTCATCAGTTTTAAACTGATTGATCCACAAAAAAGCGTTACGAATAAAGTTAATAAGTGCAAGTGACACAATCGACACTTCAAACTTAAAACATTTTATTACTAAAATTTTCTGGAGCAATTCATAAAAATAAGTTAATTTTCATATTTTGAATGATAATATTATTCAGATGTGATGTATAGAAAAATAAAATATGATTAAAAGCATTCCAATGCTAAAACAATTGCTGCTGCATGTTCTACTATTTTAACATATATTATATAATATACATCGCATATATAATACCGACTACAAAGTATAATACATGTATATATATATATATATATATTTATATATCATCATCATCAAGATATAATACATGCTACAATGTATATATATATATATATATATATATATATATATATATATATATATATATATATACATATACATTGCTGATTTATGTACATTAAACAGAGTGTACATTACACGTCATAGTTTTATTCTATTTTTTAAATAAAATTTCTATTCGGTATAATATTAAAAATGAGAATAAAATCTAACTAAAATAATTACGAATGAATCTTTTGGGCTCATTCAAACGAGCAACAAAGTTTTTAATTTATCTCTTCGTACCCAATGTTTCATCTCAATGTTATGAACCTCTCAGCACCTTTAAACGGTTTCTGACCTTTTCAAATGAACGACACAGGAAGCACTGATTATTAAAAATATCTGCGAATTAATAAAAAATAATATTAATATGAAATCATTGATTTGTTATATATTTTTTAAGTACCATGATTCCCATTGTAACAGCAGCAATGGCTATCGGGATAACTGCCGATGATTTATAAAATGCGTCCAGACATCCCTGAAAAATAAACATTTTAAATGTAATTTCATATTTTTCATATTTAAATTTCTTAATTAAGAACGACCGTTCATTCAATTAAATTAATTTAATAATCTGTCCATTGGTCCACTTTATAATTTGCAAATAATAATGAAGCATTTTTTCCTTCACCAGTATTTAATAATTTTTGTTTTTATAGGCATAAAAACCTGCTCCTGTATATAAATTTCAATATAACAATTCAGTTAATACTGAATCCACAAGTCATTGAGATCCACGCGTTTCCAGAATTTTACATTTATTTTAAATACGATTTAAAAAAGTTAACCGTATCATCAAACGCAAACAATGAAGTAGAAGCAATCGATCGAATCACAAAACAGACTTTTCTTCAATGCTTTTATATAATATTTTTGATAAATCAATGTTATCAAATAATATTAATGTGACTTTCGTTAGATCACCATGGCTCTTGAATCTTATCGATCTCGATAAGATTCCAGAGCCATAAATTTCACCAATTAAACCTATTTTAAAGTAACAAAATTTATAAAAAGCTTAGCCAAATTAAGTACGTGAAGTAATATTTTAAAAAATTTGAAACAAGAGGGTGAAAAATAAAAAGAGAAAGAGATGTATTTTTTTCTTTTAAAAAATTTTAAAATTGTTGATTATTGAAACGGTTTATTTGCGATTAAATGTAAGCATTTGTATTTGAGAGTAACTTTCTTGGAAGTGCTTGTGTTAAGTTAAGGGCAAGCACATACATTTTGACAAAGCTTCTCCTTATTATTTTTAAAAGGTTACTGATTATATATATGGGAGCCTAAGTCGAACGTTTCAACTTTTTTGATCAATAATGCAAAAAGAATGTAAAATATTTGATTAATTTGTTTATTTTGAAAACTTACAATGCTGTTGATGTAGTTGGGATTTTTGTCGTTTGGCAACTTGACGCACTCGGCCAAGTTTACGAAATCTGATTCTCCAGTAAAATAAGCTTGACTGAGAACCAGCTTCTTACAGCAAGATGCTGGAACATATAATGTACTGTTGCAAAACGGAAAAAGTGATGGGCTTGAACAGTTTGGAAATCTTTTATCGCTAGTCATGGTAATGTTGAATTCATTGCTGTTTCTCACACCACAGCAATCGAACTTCAAAAGAAATTGAATTCTGATTAATTACTACAATTTTCAAAACAAAAAATACAATTAAAATACTTTGTTCTGAACAAGATACCAAAATCTTCCCATGCCAGTCATAGGAGGCACAATTGCGCTTCTATTATAGTAATAAACATCTACAAAAATTGTATTGCAAAAAATTCAACGCTTACAAAATAACAATGAGAATATATAAAATAAATTTACCATCGGATTTGAAGTCTGTCTCTTGCCACACGTTGATCTTTATTGGAATTTCAATGTTGATTTGTTAAGATGTAGTTAATTTTAGTGGTACATGATATTCGTTATAAAATCTGGAAGATTAAATTGTATTTATAACTCACAGCGTTGGGATAGAGCACGACGACGATGATAAGAGCAATCTCCGCACCCAGCACCAGTAACACAATTATGGCAAACTTTCGTCAGAAATACAATTTATACTTAATTTATTTTTACATCAAAATTTTTTGAATTAATGAATTATTTTATTTTGAATTTTTGAACAAATTATTTTAATTCAAAAATTTGTGAAATTCTGAAATAAATTACATATTCAGACGAAAAAGTGCTTCCGTCATAACAACAATTATAAAAAAAACAACTGAAGCTTTTTGTAACAACTTATAATAATTGAATAAGATCAGTGGCGGATCCCGTTGTAAGAAGTATTTGTATTAAGTCAGTAAAACTCATTGTTTTCAAAGAAAAAACACCGTTTTTAAAAATTGACGTGATAAGCAATAAAAAAAAGGTTGTCAGTCTAATTTTGACCACATTAACACAAATGTTGGCTCCTAGTCAAAATTTTGGTCCCCCCGTCAAAATGTAAACATTGAAAAAATTACCGACAAATTTATATAGATCCGCCACCAAATAAGATGGCGATATAAATGTTGAAACGTTTGAGATTAAGGCAATTTAGCAACATATATCGCTGTCACGAACAACTTTTTTCCGCCTAGCCGGCAACGATGTGAAATTTCAGTAATATATTGATTTTAGTGTTGTATGTAAACAATTTTTTTTTATAACTGTTCTAAAATTTTATAATTGAAAGTTTACATTAAATTTTTTTACTTTAAAACATTTTTAAATAGGTGGATTTTTTAGCAAAGTTTTTTAATTTTTAAATAAACACTTTAAACTATGCTTATGTTTGCTATTCATTTGATCTTTTTTCAGAATTCTGCAAACATCTTCTTAAACAAATTTTTCAGTAAGACAATATATATTAATGCTTTCTTTAAAAGATATCAAGTATATTTATATCCATTCAGCGGCGTACCCAGAAATATGTGGAAAGTTGGCGATATTTCTTCCTAGTCCTATTTTTTTATAACATAAATTTGTCAAATTTTACTCCAGTAAAACCAGTGAAACATTAAAAAAATTTGTAAAAATAATTCTTTCACAAAAAATGAACAAACTTTTTGTAAAACTTTAAAAAACGTAATAACGATAATATACCAACATAACATGAATATACCACATGTATGTACCAATTATTGCAATTCGTCAAAGGCTGCCAACTCTAATATTTTGTGCTCTCAAAACAGAAAAGGATGCTAATTAAATATTGTAACGTACCCTTCATATCAAAATTTTGTTGTTCTAAATTTTCAAAAAGTATTTAAACTAACTATAATGAGCATCGGCTTGTTGACCAAAATGGCCGCAACAATTCCCCACAACGAAAGAGCGGCAACAACACATCCAACTACCACCATGAATATCCCCACTGTGTCTGTCACACCGCTCAGAGCATTCTCAATTTGGAAATTGCTTTTAAAAGTGTCCGTGAACAAGCTGAATAAACCAATTGGATTGGCTTTTAATGCAGCTCCAAACGAAAACATGAACACTCCGATAATCTTGAAAGGTTCATAAAATATAAACTAGTGCAACAGAAAATTATTCAAAATAGCAAAATTTATGTAGTAACGATTTTACAGTAATAAATTTAAAATATAATTTTTCAACTATTCACTCACAAAGAAGAGAACATTAATTGTCACAAGCACAACTCTGAAAAAATTGGAGCAACCTTTATTTGACATCTTCAAAGTAATTTGGTATTTTAATTCCTGTTAAAAGGTTTTATTAAATTTTTAAATTATCTGTAAATATTTTTTTAAATACTATTTCTAATCATTTTCTATAATAAATTTTTTTTATTTTTTTGACATTCTGTATCTCTGTTACACTTTTATCAACACTGCATGTAATATTTTGGTTGTTTTATATATAAAAGAATATTTTATTTAAAAACTTTTAGAACTTTATCCTAGAATTAAAAAAAAATAAAATTTGATAAATTAAGGTTAAACTCGAACTTTGCGTTGATGAACGCTAAAATAATTTTTAGATGAAAATTTTTCTGAGTTAAACGTTAAAACAATTTTTGGTTAAACGTTCATTTGAAAACACGATTCGAATATTTTTTTCAATTTTGTTCATTCATTAATTTATTTTTAAATTTTATTTGCTCATATATTTTTTGTAGCCTTAATTGTACGTTCACTTGAAATATCAACACTTTTTTAATTGATTAAAAAATGTTTTTTTTATAAGATAAACATTTGAACAGTAAATGATAAAATGTTTATGTAAAAACAATAAAATCTCTATGAATATAATTGAATTAATAAATGAATAAGTTTTTCCACGTATAGAAATTACTAGATGTCCCAAAGTGTCAGCACCCTCACCCTGGCTACAACATCTCCATCATCAGTGCCGGGCTCGTAAGAGTCATGCATTTTTATTTTACCTGCAATCAATGACTGACAATACTGGCGTGCCATTTTTTTGTTGGAACCAGGTTTCCAAACATTTAACGTGGAAGACAATGCAATTGGTGCACAAATGACCCTTTTTCTAAATCTTCACAACAAATTTTACATTATTTGAACTCAAATTTATTTTTGATGTAGAGCAACTTATTTTTGTTACATCCAAATTTAAATAGGCAACAATCAAAGTTGTCAATGACGCATTTCATAAAAATACCACAGCCGGGAACGAAAACGGTCAAGTTGTGCTTCTTTGGAAGAGATAGAAATTTAGACGTCACACATTTTTCATAAGCATTTTGACACAATGTTTCGGTGATTATGAGAGTTAAGTTGTTAACGCTACTCATAAAAAGGAGCGCCGCTAACGCTACCTCTACTGCAAGTGAATTATAGTATTGATACTCCCATCGCTGATTAAATGAAAAGTAGCGAAAAAAATCGATACCACTACGTCTACTTATTGTCGAACATTTATATAAAAAGTGTAGAAACATTTTTTTACTTGTTCCATTTTGATTGAAGTCTTCTACTGTATTGTATTCTAGTGCGTTAAAAATTATCCAAAATATTTGCAGCATAAAGACAAAAAATATTATTTATATTGATGATTTTGATATTTTTTAGGCTTTGTACTGAAAGAAACAGTATTCAAAATTCAAAGCCTATTTGTAAAAATTAGAGGTGAGCATG